GGACTTGGCTCTCTCCTGCCGCCCCCCCTGCCGGTCCCGGTCCAAATTCTTGGGATCGTCCGGGCTGGGATCCCGTTCTCCAGAAGGTGGTAGCGGCTTCCACTCGCCTGGCGGGGAGGCCCAAAATGGAAAGAGAGGGTGGTCCTCCCGCGGAGCAGGGGGTGCGTTGCGAGGTAGATTTGTCCGTCCTAGAAATTAGGTGGCTTGGGCGGGGCGTGGGGAGGCTCGGCGGGGAGAGCGGCCGCGCGCGGAGACGGGGGGCGGGCGGCGGGGGCCGGCCGGGGGCGCTCCGCGCGGCTCGGGCTCCGGCTCCACTGCTGTCCCTCCCGCCGCGGAAGCTGGAAGCCGAGTGCCGAGGGCCGCTCGCCACCTCTCTGCTCCCTTCCCCCGCGGGCCGGGGGTCGGCGCCTGGCTGGGGAGGGGCAGGGCCGAGCCGGACGCCTGCGATTGGCCTGGGCCACACCTGGGGCGCCCGGCGCCGCCGCCCCCCAGCTGTTCGGAACAGCTGCTTCTCCCCGGGCGGGGCGCGGCGCGGCGCTGGCTGCCAGGCTGGGGCTCTGGAGCCAGCGCTGTGGTAGAGCTGGGGACGGCTGCAGGCGGCCTTGCTCTCGGCGACGCCGTTTCCAACTCATCAAAGTCCTGGAGACCACCCCCACCCACCCACCCCGCGTGGCTCCTGCCGGGACCCTAGGCCAGCGGACTGGACTGGAGGGGAGAGGTGTGTCACTGGGTCTTTGCGCGCGGTCTGGGCAACCCGAGCTGCAACCTGTACTGGGGCGGCTCACTCAAAGGCTACTTCCAGCCTACATCGGGGGTTCAAGCAGCCCAGCCACAGATGCCCAGCTGCATCTTCAGGAGTCCGAAGGAGGACCCCGACCTTTTCTGACCCTAAAGAGAGGTAGAGCCAGAAGGAAATGCAGGTCTTAGTGCTTGATTGTGCCTGGGAAAACCAACAGGTTTAATGACTCACGAACCAGCCAAACGAAGTAACTGGAGACATGGCTGTCTGTCTATCAGGTGCCTTCTATTACAAAGCACCAAACATTAGTACTTAACTGCTACACTCACCAGATGTGTGAGCCCGCTTAACTTAGTTATTCGGGGAGATTGGTACAGATTTCTCACCATAAGTTCACCATCCCACCCCACACCCTGCCCCTCCTAAACAAATAATTTATCTACTTCCTTCTATTTGAATCACAGGAATCATCTGTTTCATCTGGATGCAATTGTAACGCGTGTAATTAAAAAAATATATATCAGCTTGTTACATAACCCCTGCTTTCTATCAGCAGCTCTTTAAAGCATTTGTAGATGAAAGTCGTGCACCTGAAGAGATGCATGGGCATGGGTATTTAGCATCAGTGTTTCGGTTTTTAGCAATTTGTAAGACTTGAGAGTATGTTCGATTAGGCCATACAATCATCCAGTCATATTGGCAGTTTGGATGAAAATATTTCAAGAGAGCAGAATGTTTTATCCACACTGTTGATGCACTGTAGTGAGTTACTGACAGGCTGCTAACCACAAGGTTAGCAGTTAGAAACCACCAGTCACTGCACAAGAAAGATGAAGCGTTCTGCTCTTGGAGAGAGTAACAGACCCCGGAACCCAGAGGGACAGGTCTGCCCTATCCTGTAGGGTTGCTCTGAGTTGGAGTCAACTGGGTGGTAATGACCTTGGACAGTTTGGGTTGAGGTTTTTAAGGCGTTTCCATCAGCAATGTGCTCTGACGTCTAGACATAGATTGCCCCATAGCCTCGCCATTTATTCCCTTCAAAGCAGTGAAGTATGTTAACCTTTCAAACCCAAACCCATTGCTATCCTATTAGTTGACTTCTAGTGACCCTACAGGCAGAGTAGAACTGCCCCACTGGGTTTCCAAGGCGGAACATCTTTATGAAATCAGAAAACTTAATCTTTCTCCTACAGAGCAGCTTGTGGGTTAGAACCTCCAACCTTTTGGTTAACAGCTGAGATGCTTTTAACCACCAGGGTTTATTAAACCTTTCAGAGAGGCGGATATGGCGAGAGTGCTCCTTAGAGGCAAGACTTCATCTATTATCCTTTGGACATATTGCCAGGAGAGACCAGTCCCTGGAGAAGGACATCATGTTCGGTAAAGGGGAGAGGCGGCAAACAAGAGGAAGGTGCTTTTTCCGATGAGATGGATGGACGGGACTGGTCAGTATTTCGTCTGTTGTGCATAGGGCCACTATGGGTCAGAACTGATTCAATGGCGCCTAACAACAACCACATACTTCAGTTTCTCTTTCCCAGGTGCTTTTGCAGTTAGCCCAATTGGATGAGAGAGGGTGTTTACACAAAAGCTCTTGTGGTCCTAAAGATCCTGGTGCGAAACATTGAATTCTTTTGGGGGGAGGGCTTGCTGAATTCTGCATGAGAGCGACCCTTTGAGGTCATCTGTTTCTCCAGGTTGGAACTCTCCGTGGAAATGGGCAGAAATAAACCCAAATCCATCTGGAGTTTTTGTTTTTGTCTTTTTAATCCAATTGAAAAACAGTACAGGTAAGATGAGAGCCAGAGAGGGACATCATACACAACAGTCTTTCCTTCTTGTTTAAGAAAAGCGCTGGTTCAAAGGGTATGATGCAAGATCATTTTTTTTTTAAATTAGAAAAACTAAGCAGTCTGTGAAATGGAGGGGGCGTGTCTTCTCAGATTCACCATCCATCTTGCAGCTTCCCTTAAGCATTTCTGTACTCCCATGAAGTACCATTTCCCCCCCTGCTTATTCTGTGAGGAGACGGCTGCTTGCAGAAGGACTACTTTGCTATTGTTCCTCTCTTTCTGCGTGGCCGGGGACTACTCCAGAGAGGACTGTGATCATATCTGGGAAGGAGCAGGTCTGGGAGTGTCACCAGCGGCTTGGATGTTCACTGGGTAAAGGGGGGAGGTGGAAAAGCAATGCAGATTGGGACACTGGAGATAGAGAACTCCACTTCTGGAAATAAGATGCTTCGCTGCCAGTGTCCCAGGGAAAAGAACACAGCCTTTTCCCTTCGGAACCCATGCTACCCCAAACCGGTGTGCGTTCGTTCTTTCTCCTCAACAATAAAAATCTGATAGCTTCTTCCAAAACTTCATTCATTTTGCACAAAATGAAATCTGGATATCTTTCTAATTTTGTTCTTAAAGACTGGGAGCACTGGTTGTTAACCTGAGTTCACGGAGAACAAAGGTTAGGAGAAAAGGAGATCCCATATTCTCCAAGCCTGCTTAAACAGAGGGGACATTGATAGAACAGTGGTGGACTTTTGGCCCTTCACGCTGGAGATCTGGCTTCACATCCTGGCCAGTGTACCTCCTGTGCAGCCACCCGCTGCCTTTCAGTGGGGGTTTGTATGTTGCAGTGGCCAGTGTACCTCCTGTGCAGCCACCCGCTGAAGAGAAACCGAAGTGGGGGTTTGTGTGTTGCAGTGGTGCTGAACAGGCTTCGCAGGAACTGCCAGACTAAGACTAGGAAGAAAGACCTGGGGACCTACTTCAGAAAATCAGTAAATAATAAGCTTCTACATATAACTTGGCACCTTTGAGACTCGGTCTTTAAAGACTTAAAAAAGCATGCTCACACGGGCGTTACACATACACACACTAGAACGTCACACTGGTCAGATCTCTAAACAGTCATGGGAATGATGTAGGACTGGAACGCATTTGGTTCAGTCATGTATGGGTTTGCTATGAGCTGGGGCAATGTGAAGCCATGATTTTTCCATCGTCCAGCTCTATAAACCTTCTCTGTGTACATACCACGCTAGGCATGGCTGACACTCCTGGTGGGTTTTGTCATAGCTACACAAGCTTGGCTATAATTACAGTGGCCAGATCCATTCCTGGTAGATTTATTAAGTTTCTGGAGTAGGATAGTCCTCAGTTCTGGCTACACAGCACTGAAAGAATTCATGTCACAGAAGCACTTTTGTATCCAAGTGAGTTTTTATGAAGGAAAGAAAAAGGTTCAGATTTTACAGTCTCAAAAGGGTACATGCTATTTCTGGAAAGTGTGCCAAGCGGCACAGAAGCCACGCTAGGGTTCATAACTGGGTAAGAAAAACCACGGGGAACAGAACACCCACATGTGTGGAAGTAGGGAATCCTAGGGACCAAGATGCTAGGGAACCACGTGGGTCTTGAGTAGGCCAGGAGCAAGCACATGCAGAGTCAAGGAGAGCCTGCCTTCCTGCAGCGGGGTGTTTCACACCTCTGGCTGGGGAGGCGTGGTTAAAGGTATTGGTTCACCCCATTGACTGAGTGTAGGCATATCAGTGTGATGTACCCAAGATGGGTGTGCCCAATGTATTGGTTTTACCTGGGCCTTGGCGATTTGTGTCTGAGCATGCTCAGTTTTTGATTTTCCCCATAGGTGTCCAATTAGGGTGCCTGATCTCTTTCAAAACCCTGTATAGTGTGGCCCTTTGCAGGCATTGGAGAGACACCCCCACCCCCAGGCCCGGGTCCCTAATCTAGCTGCCTAATAGATTTATGAACTTGAGCCATTGAACCATGTAGCCTTGGGGCTATAAAATTTTCTTGGAGTATTTTTCAAATTAGTGAAGTAACTAAATATCTACGTACGGTTGTTGTCGCTGTGGACGGGTGCCAGGTAACAAGTTCTGACTCCTAGTGACCCTGTGTGCAACAGAAAGAAAGCCTGCCTGGTCCGGCCCCATGCTCACAATTGTTATATTTGAGTGTGTTCTTGAAGCCACTGTGGCTGTTCATCTTGTTAATGGCCTGCCTCTTATTCGATGACCCT